AAATTTATATATGACATTTTGAAATTATATTAGGGTGTGCGCCGCACACCTCCGCACCTTAGAGCAGCCGTCACTGATATATATATATACATACTTTATGGTTTACTTTATGGCTTACTTTATGGTTTACTTTATGGTTGTACAAGATTAACCTCTAAAGAATACGCAGTTCTCATATAAATCACTTTGAATTCTGCCGTTTAAAACTTTGAAAGTAAAAGATTCATATAAATCTATAAGTTGAAACCCATTTTTGTCCATGGTGATATGTTTTACTAATTTTCTTTCACTTGTATACTGTCAACATTTATTATTTTCTGTAACAACTTGTTCTACGTCTTAACGGCTACAACGTGGTCAAATCGGTATTGCATTAATAAGTCAAATAGAATGTCTTAGTCATGATTTCAGTGACTATTGGAATTCGACAGCAGTTAACGATATATTGCAAATCGTCTGCCTCTTTTGACGGGTCTTACGTCAGTTCTTGGTGCACGGACCCACTGTAAATGACGATTAGTTAAATATATTTTATACTGTATCATATCTCTGTTAATATATGCCTCCAATTGGGAAAATATCTTATGATCATATAAAAAATTATGAGTTTTTTGCATTAATTTACTTTTGAATCTGCCAATTTATACGCAGTACTTTTATGTTATTGTTTATGGAACTTAGTTTATATAGGTTTATATATATATATATAATTTCAGTGGGGACGCATTCCCTTTCTGGAAAGGTGTGCGGCCCTTCTACAATGTTCTTTTTACATGTACCACTTAAATTAAAAATGATATATTTAAATATATAAGATGTTTTATTTATAATAACTGTATTACACTAGGCAACAATATTCACAATATAACATTTAATAATTCATTAACAAAATAACATATTAAAGAAATTAAATTAATATTTTATGTATAAGTTTAATATTATATCAATATGTGGAATAAATACAACTTTTCACATATATCTTATAACATCAAACCAATTTTCTTCAAACGAAAGAGTTTGTACTTAGAAACATACATGTTTATGCAGTGATCAAACACAATCGAACACACTTGCAACGTGTAAATGTGCGGCCAGCTACTCCGCACACAAAGTGGTTATTATTCGCTGAGTAACAGCTAAAAGGGGAAAGACGAAATATGATAGAAATATTTTGCAATGTGAGCTGCAAACTTATTAGCACAACTAACGACTATAATAGCTAAGAAAAGCAAATTAATTGAGTTTTCATAGACAATTATATTTAATTGTTAATGCTAAAACTTTAATTTTTAAAAATATATAGATATATAAAAATGTAATAAGCAATATTAATTCTTGATGTAAAGATATTTAATAAATTTATGTATATTATTTGACAATATGCAAATTATGTTAAGGTGTGCGCCGCACACCTCCGCACCTTAGAGCAGTCATCACTGATATATATATATATTACACTACGTTACAATTTTCAAACCGTCTTTATTACTAGACATAGGCGGCCCATAGGTATCCACGCCAAGTTCTTCAATTCAGCAATGAAATTTTCTTAAAGCTGTAAAAGGAAAATGATTTCTTTAATAGTTACTTGAACATCAAGGAGTATAGCCGTGTTATACATTAAGAACTTGTTTGTTGGTTTGAATTGAATTTAAAGAATCAAGCAAAAGCTAACCAAACCAAATCAATTATGCTGAGATTTGCATTCTTAAGATAAGTGTGGTGGTGTTTGTCGTATGTAAGTTGATTCTTATAGGAGGAACCATAAGCGCTTGACTACGGTGATCATAGCTGAATCAGCATAAACAGTAAGTTAGCTTCAATGCACTTGAAATAGTGTAAACAGGAGCGTTTCTTTGTGTGTAGGACAAATTCCTAAACAAAAACTGTGATATTGCGCTTTGTCTTTTATTTGTCTTGATACAAACTAAGACAAAACCTAATTTGACAAATATGTGGAATAAATCCACATAACAGGCGAAAAAAAAGTTTAGCGTTTTGAGACGCAATTACACATTGTCATTCTTCCATGGGCACGGTTGTGCAATACCTAAAATTGAAGGTTTTATTAAATTGGAGATTCATTTTATTCTTTGCCTTACTTTGTACCTTTGCGTCATGTATAGTCGGTTTTCGTTTGCCAGAAACCCTGGTCCACAAATCTAGTACAAGTTTTCATCTTCACTCATCTTATATTTTTGATATTTTGCGTCTACATTGATACACATATACATACATATATATAAACTGCAAGACAACACGATTACTGGTAGTTCTGTGTGGTACTTGCTAGTCAAGTCAACATTGTATTCCCTGTCCGTTGTGTCTACAGTGGACAAACTTAGCGGCCATACCACGTCAATGTGACTACCGGGTGTTGTCATAGACAAAATATAAGATCTATGTATTCTCAATTCTTCGATAGTTCGCATCAGCCGAAAAAAAATTTTTATGTGTTATTACTTATCGGAATTGTATGTAGTATTCGTGGTTTTATATAATTTCTTAAGCTAAATTTAAATGTTTATTTAGAATTGATTTGAAGTACAATATTAACACTTTTACAATGCACTTATAAAATTATTGGTCGAATTTAGCCTTTGGAATTGAGAAATTAAATATTTTGTATTCTATACTTTATTATTTAAAGAGGATATTCACCAACTGATTTCTTTTAATAAATAATAAAATTTCTGTCATAACTATTTATTAAGAATTTTAATACTAATTTACTTTGTACAACGATTCCTCTGTGATGAAGTGCTTTTAGGAATGTTATAAAAATATTGAATAAAAAATATGTGAATATATTTCCAGGGAACTGAAATACCTATTAATTGTCCTACAGAATACTAGAATATAAATTCTTTTATTAAAATACACCAAATGGCAATTCAATTTAATTTCCTTTTTCTGGGCATTCTAAATTTAATCGATCATTAAATCCTCATTAAAATTTTAAAGACCATGAAAAGATTTGGTTGTTTCTCATCAAATGTTATAAAACTTATGCCAGTAAACAGTCGTTTCTACGTTTTTCTTTTTTAACATAATATAAATTGCCCAGCACAACTAAATCTAGACACCAGGTAGTGATGTATGTACATACATATATATATACACGATTCAGTTATCCAAAAACCAAAACAAGAGGTTTATAAACAAATATATTCAGTTTGTATGAATTCAATAAAACAATTATTCCATGTTCATTTTTAATAAATATTAGTAGACTTTAATTTTTACTAGCCACAATGACAGGAAAAGTACTAGCAATGAAGACAGAATCGTTTTATTATTCTGAAAATTCAATCACCTTTATTGCTGTTTTGCCTCAAAAAGTGGATTGTGTCGCAGATGATGAAAATATTCGTTCTAATGAATGATGTGGCGTTATATTTATGATTTTTTTTAACTTTTATATTATTTTATTTTTATTTTATTTTTATAATTTTTCTGCAAGATAATTCACCAAGCGAAGTAAAACACAATTTTTCATATTCATTAAGATTTACTTTTATTATTATTAACAATTTACAATTATACTTTATGATGTCAAAGAGCGTTGCTAGTCAAACGAATTTGCAAATTTTTTTTGTTTTGCAGTAGGTGGAAAGCCATAGTGGGAGACTTAAACCCACTAAAACCACTTCTTAGCAATAAATATGGAAGATTGCAACCGTGTGCAATGGGATTGTATCCGCTACAACGCCATTCCAGTAATCAAAAAAGAAAGATTAGAGCAAAAGGCTTAAAGGCTTAATACCTAGCGGACAAGGTTCATCTAAGCCAGAAAGCATGGGCATAAAGAAGGGAAATGGGGTGTTAGTGAATGGGGCGGGGTTATTGCGCAAACGCGGGGACACTTGTGGTACACTCTGTAACCGTGGTCACTCATCGAGGTAAATAAATAGGTATTGGGGGGATTTGTGGCGTAAGACCTGGACTAAGTCTGCAGGAAGGGAGCTAGGGGCTGAGATGTCAGACTGGAGGTTGTAAAGTCGCGTGAGGTGCCTTCGAGCGAGTGAGCGAAGGTACTCGTCGATGTGATTAATTTTGGCTGAACCCAGAAGGACAGAGTTGGAAAAAAGCTTGCCGTTTGGATTGCGCTTGTAATTGGTGCAATCATGAAAGAGCTTTCACTCGAAGAGACAGATTCTATCCATCTGAGCGAAAGAAATTGCAGACCAAATAGGGAAAGCGTACGTGAGTAAGCGGCGAATGAGCTGTTTATAACAGAGCAGCTTAAATTTGCAGTTGAGCTGGTTGTGTCTACGAATTATGCCTAAACCGCGAGGCATGAAGTCATGCTGGGAGGATAGCACAACACCAAGGTATTTTAACTTGGTGACAAGGCGAATGGGCGAAATGTGCATCAATTTTGAGCACGTCTTAAGTGTAGTTTTTAAACGAGGTATTAAAGCTTAAATTAATAAAAGCATATGGGAGACAATGGGATCGTTGAGATTTTCGCATGAAAATCAAGGATATATTGCATAGTAATCCATTTCATTTAGAAAGGCCACTGTACAACAACAAACTGTATTCTAAAAATATAGCTGAGCACAAATATTCTGAATATTTTTTAGCATTAACTTATTACTTACATTCATTTCGTATGATGACATAAATCTTCATAATAAAAAAAAAGCTTCACTAAATTTGGACATTATAGAAAATTTCTTTCATATGGAGTTTTCATGCGAACTACGGCTAGTACTAGGGGGTAAGTGAATTCGTAGTTAATAGCTAATTTTATAGATATTTACATATTTCTGCACAATATATGAAGTTTTATATGGAATTCTGCTTCATTCAAATTATTTAAAAAAAAACAACACATTGCGATTAAAAGCGTTTTTAATAAGATTATACAGATATATACATATATAGTATCATATCATAGATAAAAAGCTCTAAATAATAATACTATAATAATATAATGATAATATAATACTATAATAATATAATACTATAATGATTTTCTAACACTATTTCAGAGTAACTTGAAAGCGAAGGATAAAAGCCCTCTTATTAACAAACCAGAGTTGTAAGTATAAAATATTATTAAATTCAATTTTTATTTTATGAATATATTTTACTCTAGAACCACGAATCACACGAAAATACCTTTGAGAACGTCAATTACAAAATTCAATACGAAAAAGTCGCATTATATTTCGGTTGGAAATAACTCGAACGCATCTGCAATTTATCCAGGACGAATGAGTCAAAAAGATCGAAGATTATTAAAAATGATTTTGATTATATTTGTGTCTTTTATAATTTGCTATTTGCCGATAACTATTACCAAAATTTGGAAGAGCGTTAACAATATTCATATTGTTAATATTAGTGGATATATACTAATTTACATGACCACTTGTATTAATCCAATAATATATGTTTTGATATCATCTGAATACAGACAGGCTTATCTTAATTTAATAAAATGTCAAAAGGATCATAACCATAGAAAGCAAGCAAAAGATGCAAAGCGAAAAGGAAAAACGGTTCAGTATTAAAAATCTATCAGATTTAAATATATTATGTAATATGTACAATAATTATGTAATGCCATCAAATATTATAATAAAAATGTATTATTTTATTTGTGTCTTTTACATTAGATATATACAATGGGTTAACTCTGCACGGCTACAACTGATATAATGTGATAAACAACACCTATCAACAAATTAATTGTTAATTTTGATTAAAAACAAAAATTTAGCAAACTTGATTCATATCTTGGGACTAAAATAAGAACTCGTTTCTCTTATATATTTAGGTTTTATTTGTTGTTGTTTCAACGAATTTTTAACTAACTATCATTGGTGTTTTCTTTTTTATTCTCCACTAAATGAATTGTTTGTTATATTCTTTTACTCTCCAGAGCGAATGTCTTCATCAAGTATTTTTTTTTCTATATCAAGTATTTCGAAATTTTCAAAACTAGTTGAGTAATTTTCTTCCAAGCAAGATATGGATATCACTGCATTTAAACACATGTAACATTAACGTTTCTAATATAAGAGTAAGCTATTTCGACAATTTTAATATTTACCATTTGCGTTAATCACGATCTGCTATATATTAAGTAATAAATGATAGAAATACCATCTCCAACCTTCGTCGGTGGTCCAACCTTTGTCTGAGTTATGGACTTACTGAGACTGAGCAGCGTTTATATGCATTAAGAGGGTCCCTATTTATATTTTAAGCGTAATACTCGTAATAAAAAAATACTGACTTGTCGTTAAAAATTGTTTTATTGTTTCTCAAAATATTCTCCTTCATAATTAATACACTTTGCATGCGCTCGATCTATGATACACTTTTGCATGACGCATATATCCGTGATTGGTTATCTGCTATAATCTTTTATACTTTTACGTCTTTTGAAGCACTGCCATTGTACTTCCTGAGAATTTGTGTGCACATTGTGTTCATATGGATCGGCCGAACACATTTTAACTGTTTTGGGTTTAAAACGCGTCACATCTCGATTAGTGGTAAAAAAGCTGAATTTCATTCAAAAAAAAGCCGCAGTTTTTGGCCAAAAATTCCACCAATATCATCAACCAAGCACCGTACTCTCCAGATATGGCCCCGTGTGACTTTTTCCTCTTCCCCCAACTCAAATTGGCATTGCGAGGAACGCGTTTTGAGACCATAGAGGACATAAGGTAAAAATCGACACACGAAAATTTTTCGACTTCTTTGTATAGACGCCAAACAAAAACTAATCGTGGGATATGCGTTAAACTTTGACAGAATGTGTATAATAGTGTTGCCAGCGTGAAAATAAAAAAATATTCCGATTGGATAAGAGCGGGAATTCAAAAATTAAAAATTAAAGTTCTTTTTTGATCACAAGTTATACTGGTGGAACTAATGCCTATCGCATGACGATCTTGCATCATCAGTTTTTGCATAGCATTAATGTTTTCTGTCACAACAACTGAATTTGTCTTGTCTCGATAATCCGAATCTTGTTACGTCGAAAGGCATAATAAATTATTTTCTCGGTTTAATTCCCTTTTTTCGCGAACACACAATTTTCAAATTATTGCAAATAACACAAATAACGTTCCTTTAACAAAATGTCTAACGTAGGTTATGTTTAATAATGTCAAACATTCGTATGGAAACGTAAGATGACACCTAACAGCAATCAGTGTTGCCAAGGCTTAAAATATAAATAGTGACCAGTGACAACGCATGCACAATCTTTTTTCAAACAGCAAAAAGAAAAAACATTTTTAAAAATGTTTAAAACAGGTGTTATATTAGATCCGTATATCAGTTTCTAAAATTTAGTTCATATATGTTATTATTGCTTTTATTGTTTATTTCTTCTTCTCGTTACAAAAATTGTCTTTTTTCAATTTTATTTAATAATAATAATAAAAGCTAATATTTTACAAATTTTATAGTCAATCGTATTTCAATTAATACCGTTTATTGGAATAAATGCCATTAACTCGATCTAAATTTTAATACCTAAAAGGCATTTAGCAGTTTTTGTGAGGCAGGTAACTAACATAAATTATAAAAAATTATCCATGGAAAGAAGAGCAATCTATGTTCTTACGGAATGAAATTTGTGCCCTTTGAGCCGTTAATTATCAAATTATGTATTTATACATTAGTTTATATAGAATGCAACAGCAGTTTTCCCGTTGAAAATATATAATTTAATCCCTACTTTTCAAACAGTTTTGAGACAATTTTATTAAATCATGCATGTATTTTTTTATTAGATTATGTATGGAAATGTTTAAAATCGATCAAAGTTTATAGACAGTACGCTTGACGATGAAGTACGAAAGGAAAGCAAATTTTTTACCTATATTTTATAAAAATTAAAATAATAATAATCGCATTTATTTTTTTATTTATTATGAATATTTTTTTAAATTCTACCCCAAATATGTCATTTCCATAGTACTTCGAATTAAATACTCAACCAACTGGTTCACTCGTTTGTAACCAGTACAATACCCGGTATATCAATTTGTTTTTGGATACTCACTCATTGCAAGAGTAAGTTTTTCAGTATTTCACTAATCATTCCATTTATGCATAAAAAATACTTTGAATGTGTATGTTACTCAAATAGCCATTTGGGCTATTCAGCTCCATTGAAGGTGATGAACTATTTGTAACCTTTAGTATTACCGAGTTCCAAAGTCATATGGCACATCTAATAATAGGCGTTTTCTTTTGTAAGCATATCACAAAAGAACAACCGCTTATTTTAAAAATAATATATGAAACAAGAACACTGCTAGCTTATTTAGTCCAACGTTTTTGAAACCGCTTAACTAATAAGCAGTTCAAATTGCATGGTTGCCATGACTAAAAACTCGTCTATTGTGAACGATTTTTGGAAGTACATATGAAATTTCCAGTTCTCGGCCAGCTGTTAACTGTATTTGAAAAATAATAATATACAATTCTTTTTAATTTTCATCTGCCAACTGCAGTTATTTAATATAACGTTTTGTAATAAATTTATTTTGCTGTTTAAAAATGAGTGAAACATAAGTAATTGTAGAACTTAAAAATAAAAATATTAAGGAACTCTATTTTTCTAATTATATACATATTTATAGTCATATTGTAACATCACGAAAACGGTGGAGCAATGCAGAAACAATTGGGTTTCTGCATTGCTATTTAGCAAGGAAGCACGAGTTCGAACACACAAAGAAAAATAGGGCGGCTTATTTTAATGTATTAGAAGACATGGTCGCAAAAAACATTACTGTAAGTTTGACGAATGATTGTATAATCAGGCGAAATGTATTATTATCTACTTTTTCTTTTATTTCAGGATAAAGAAGGAACGGAGCAGTGTCTAGAAGGAAAAATGCGGACTTTAATGAAAGCGTATAAAATGGCAATAGACAACAATAAACTAACTGGCGCTAGTCCGTATTTTTCACCTCATATGGAGCTAATGGACTAAATTTTCGGAAATTCTTCAAAAATTAGAAATACCAATGCTGTGGATATGAGCTTCGAAGAAATGGTGATGCTAGACGACTCTCACTCAAGTATATCATTGAAAGTATGTCATTCATTTATGTCATTAAATGAAATTGAAATTGAATCACAAAATCCAGCGCCAAGTGGAGTCGGATCACTGACTTCAACTCCACCGCAACCTTCAACTTCTAGTTTGTTAACAGGAAAAGTACGCAAGCGATCAGCTCGCGATATATACTATGAAGAAAAGCTTAAATTGAAAAAAATTGAAATGGAAGAGAGACAAAAGCTAAGGCAACAAGCTGTTAATAATATCCAACAGCAATTGCCGGTTGATCAAGAAATAGAGCGCAAAAAATTGTCGCTGTTGGAGGCCGTTGTAAAGTCATTAAATCCATAATTAGTTTAGTTTATTATTTTATTTAGTTTATTTATTTTTTTTTTTATAATTTCAATAAACACAATTTATTTCCATATTTTGTTGTTTGTACTTTATTTTCAATAATTAGTTTTAAATCTAAATATGGTAATATTTTCTCTTGACAAGTAATTAAGTAGGGTTTGTCTTAAATCAATTGAGTCATCCAACTCTAAAGTATCAAAAAATTCTGGTTGATCTGCCGTTTCTTCCACACTATTGTGTTCGTCATTGTTTTCGCAAAAATCATCCTTACAAATGTTGTGCAGAACACATACACTGGCTACGATGTTCGTGATTGCAGCCAAATTACTTTCTTCTGTAAATTTTGATAGTCTGCGAAAGCGACTTTTTAGCAGACCAAAAGCATTCTCTACTACCATTCGTGTAGAGGAATGCTTTTCGTTAAATTTTTTTTGGTTTTCATCTAAGTTTCCATAGTCTTTGAATGGGGGCAGAAGCCAGTTTAAACACGGATAAGCAGTATCTCCAATAATATATGATGAGTTTGGAAATAGTTCACTCTGATTTAACTGTGAACGTCGGTATATATCAGATCTTCTCAAAACTCTAAAGTCGTGCAAGGATCCAGGTTCACCACAATTAATATTCAAAAATTTTTTGTTATTTTTTTGTTAACATAGAAAAAGCCCTAAAAAAACAAATTTTATTCACAATCATTTAAAAAATGAAATTTTCTTACCAATAATTGCAAAGAATTATTCATTTTGTTAATTTTCACTTCAAATTTTATTATGTGTTTTGCAAATACAAACAAAATTTTCAGTTTTTCCAGAGTTGCCATCGAAAGTAGTGCTTATTTTATATGTTCTTTTGTGGCATGCTTACAAAAGAAAACGCCTAATATTAACAAGGAACTGACAAATCAATTAAACTGCCGCATCTGAAATTTTTTGAGCTTTGGAACAAATCAAAAGTTCTAGCAATGAATCTAGCGTACAAAGAAACGCCACGTTCATACAGACGAAATACCTAGTTTATTTTGCTGATAGACTTATAATGAATCCACCCAACTTCATGCAACAATGTTCTATCAAGTCACTACTGATATGATGTTCAGTTGAAGCTCATTGCAACCCACAATTGTTTTTATAAGCATGTTTCATTTGGCTTTCGTTTTTTTATTTGTCTATTTCA